GGTAGAAAATTTCGAATTTTGCCCGGATGGAGGCCGAAGCCTACTCTTTTCGATTTTGGGACCACCAAGGAATATTTAACGTGCGCAACTTGCACTCGTCGGGACCTCCGAGATGTTTCGCCCTAATCCGAGAAGGCTATGTTAGATCGTACCTACATTGAAATCAGGGATGTGGATGAAAGACAGCTGTGAAAAGGAGCCGAGGAGCTGAATTAGAAAGGCTGCAGAAAGAGTCAGAAGCCTAGAGGTGGGGGAAAAGGGGAGCGGAGGCAGAAAGTGGAGACGGAAGCAGACGACAGGTCATTGTTAGAGAGAAAGAAGGGATGTGAAAGGAGACATTTTTAGAGAAGACAATTTTCCGTTGCTATCAGGATTTGAACCCGCGACCTATTGAATGAGAGGCAAACACCATAACGTCTAGACGCCTGTTTTGGGTGTGTGTGCGCGTATGTTTGTGTGTGTGGGTGGGTGTATGTGTGTGTGTGTGTGTGTGTGTGTGTGTGTGTGTGTGCGTACGCCAAGATCGATTGTGTCACCAAAACTAAGAGCGTGACCACTGGTTCCGCATGACAACGTCACAGGACGATGAGAGAGTCCAGGCAGGCTTATAATGTAGACATACCAGATTCTAGATCTATACAGACAAAGGGTATCGAGCGGTTGTGCACTTCTCTCAAGGGTCTCTCCCAACCAATGTCCTAGACTGATCTGCAACTTCTTAAAGTTACTGGAAGTTCCACCATACCGACAATCAATTTTTGTAATGGTATTCGTTCTTACAAGCAAAGGAAAGGGGGGAAAGTGATTTAAGATTGGGCAAAGATCTGCTTCAAAACTACATGATATGAATTAGAACTACGTCTTTATTCTGAGGTCGCACTCCGTTGCGAGTTTTTAAAAAACACCTTGTTTGAGAGCTCGAGACTTGCTGAGTCGAAAACATGCTCTCTATGTCATTTGGTCAAATCGAGCTTGAAAACTTGAAAAAGGGATGCAATAATTAGAGGAATGCAATAAGGGGATCGTGTATAAGTAAGGGCGCACCAAAGTGTTAGAGGACTAAACAAACTGCTCCTAGCACGTTGTATAAGAAGGTAAAGATATCTTTTCTTTGGCAAGACTTAGACTGAACTCAGCACTGTCAAGGTTTTTGCTGCTTGTTGAACCTATCAGTTCATGAATGCATAAACCTTCATAGCATGTCTCGTAAGAATCAAGCTTTCATATACACGAAAGTAACTTATGAAAAAAGGGACCATAAATGTAACGGGAAGCTCAGAAGTAAAGGCCTAAACTTGAGAAATACTGTAAAACTGTAAATACCTATCCATAGTAAGTCTCCATGGGCTAAGTGCAGCCACAGCGCACCCACTCTGTAAGTTTAATCTACGGATTAACGGACGCCTAATCCCGTGGGTCTTAATCCCTAAATCGACGCTGTGTGTGTCTACTGGTAACTGTCAGTGTGTACGCAGTATGGTCACTTGTGTCCAGCAGTAAGGAACTGTTAGAAAAAAAGCACTCAGAGTAACATGACGTCATATTGAGGGTTAACAGTCGTTCTAGTCTGGCAGGGGGGAGTATTTGCGATATCTTAGTAGGCAGGCCAGGGGGGTCTGTGTTGTTGGGCAAGCCTTTTCGCCACTCTAAATGCGATAGAGGTGTGTTGAAAATTCTTAAGAGATAAAAATGGTGACTTGGTGTCGATTATGTCAGGGTGGGAAAACGGTGAAAGAGTGAAGGTATACTGGGGAATGGAGGGTTTGGGGGGGGGGGCAAGATAGCGGTTAAGGAGAAATGCTCCAACCCCAGATCACCCGCTCTTTCTTTCCAAGCGAACTGCGGGTTAAGTAATGGTCGATGTGCTCACTTACAAGAGGGAGCGACAGTTTTAGCCCAGCACAACACTACCACAAAACAGTTAGCCAATTATTTTATCGGTGGTTTGTGAACAATGAAAATAAGAGAAGCACACTGAGAAACAGCTGGGTTGAAAGTCTATGCATGGTTGATGTGGGTACGTGAATCGTCTCTGCCTTCTCTTTTTCCATCGTCGTGCTTATTCTTACCACTGGACTAAATGCTCTTCCAGCGTGGTGATCTATCTGTATAGTAGTGTTAAAACTTCATATAATACTTTTTATATGTGTTTTACGCCTACATCGACAAAATTTGCATCGACCACGCCTATCAGAACCAACCCGGGATGAGAGGGGTACAACTTCCAAGCAGAAAGACAGAGATACCTGATAAAAATTATAAGACATTCCAGACGTTACATAATAAACGGACGAAACAGATACGTAACAGATCTTTTAAAAAGGGAGTAGTGGGAAATAATTGTAAGAGTTGTTAATCAAAACGAAAACGTTCATCTCAACTATCCGCCAGCTTCCTTTTTTAGGTAGGTATTTTACTCCCCACGAACACAATCATTAAACAATTTATGTTAGAGGTACACTTTTACACGGCCTGTCAGGATGAAGGGCCTACACGAGCTGAGACGGATGCAATGTCCCAGCAGAGAGACTGAGATATTCGATAAAAATTCTTTTCACACTGGAATCTATCTACTATCTCAGGTTTACTGTGTGCACAGGCGAATTGCCTTACTTTCTTTGGGAAGCTTTGTAGTAAAGAAAGACGCGAGGCGGCGGGTGTATGCAATACTATACGTGTGCACCAGCAGAGCAAATGTACATGAAGTTAAATCTGTGAGCAATCTTATTTATCTCGACGATTTAAAGTAGCTTGTTTATCTTGCATGGTGTGTAAAATGCACCAAATTGTTGTTGTTGTTTTTCTTCTTCTTCTTCTTCTTCTTCTTCTTCTTCTTCTTCTTCTTCTTCTTCTT